TGTCTTGAGGCTTCTGCTCTCTCCTTGCGAGGGTGTAGTATTCCTACTACGATTTTCTGAGTGGCGAGGGGGCGTCTTGTTTTTGCGCCCCTCTCCTGTCGCCACTTCTTTTTTCTTCATCTGGCGTTTCAAGGCCTCCATGTCCGCCGCCATCTTTTTTATCAATTCATCTTGTTCTTTCACGCGATCTTCCAGTGCTTGAGAGTCAATCCTCCTTCTTTGTCGGTCGGGACTTTGAGAATGGGATTGACGGGGGCTATGATTCCGTCTTCCCCTAGCATCCCTCCTGGAGGTATGTCGCTGTGGCTCCAGGTTCGCCATGGGAGGGACAGAAGGTAATGCTTCACGCCTTGCGCCTCCTTCTGGAGTTAGTCCATCGACGGCGGACTGCGGCATGTCTTCAATGTGTGCCATTGAATGAGCAAAGGAGAAGCTTAGTCAAGAGGTTTTTTGTTCTTGTCTGTTGTTCCCACAGACGGCGCCAATTGTACGGGGAAGAAATAATTCTCCTCGTATAATCCTGTTGACCAAGTCCACGCTCCTCCGTACGACGTCGCTTTGTCACCTGAAAACACAAACGTGAGCTAGCCGGCGGGTGTGTGCCGAAAACCTCTCCGATGCCTAAGTCAGAAAACTTGACAGATAGACAATGCTCTAAGTTCACAGAAAAATTGTGTTCAATTACCTCCTCCAAGGTGATGTTTGTGAGCTTTTATAAGTTTCCCATGGCACAATCCTAGTAGGACTTGTACTTCTCCATGCAGAGTCCTCCTAGGATTCATACTCCTAAGGATAATGCTTATCCTTTTACACCCTCCCCCACTGCTTAAACCAAGTGGGATGGTTTTTACTTTGGCCGAACTACCACATGACTGAAATAAGCTTGGCTATCCAGAGCCACAGAGAAGACAGAACTATCATTAGCTCGGTTTTCTCCCATTCAATCACGATATGCTGAGACCAAGCTCCTGAGTAGCAAGTTCCGACCGATCTAACCACAATGCACCGCAACCGGACTAACTTTGAGACCGGAATAATTACCAAGTTACCTCCAGACCGGAGTAGTTTTTCACCATCTTGGGCCGAAGCAATTATACCTCTCCTAACCGGAGTAACCATACTTCTCCTGGGCCGAGGTAACTATGCTTCTTCTGGACCGGAATATCATTGCGGCCCTTTACTGAGTCCTTCATACTTTGGGCCATAAAGCCCATCTCACAGCTCGGTTCAATTTCTCCAAAAATTACCCTCTCATATGGCAACATGTCTTTAGAAAGAGGATACATGAAGTGAGAGATATTGAAGGTCATGAAGGCACGTATATATGGTATATATTCCTACATATATTAGGTATTGATTTCTTATATATATTAGGTATTGCCATAATTAGGTCTCTTATAGGATACTCTTGCTTGTAGTTAGATTTCTAGTAGGATACTCTTTCTCAGCTTATATATACAGGCCTTCTATTATATAATATAATTCATTCAATACAATATTATTCAATACAATACATATTATTCTCTCACTCTCTACTATTCTAACATGGTATCAGAGCTATAGGTTAAGCTCTTGGTATTCTTCGTTTCACCGACGGGCAGCAGCCTTGCCTTGGCCGACTGCCGGACCTTAACCTATTCCGCTGTCATATTTTCCTGTTAGTATCGATTCGTGGTGATCTCTTCCTTTTGTCCGCTGTTTATTCCTACTCCAAATATCTCTATCATAATTTTTTACTCGCAATACAGTTTTTTCTTCACTCTATCTTTTCCTCTACTTCACCCTCAAATTGGTTTCTCTCTTCCAGCCTATTTGAGTTTGAGGGGGGATATTACTATATCATGGTGAGTATGGTTATACACCATACAAACCACCTAAGCCGTCTCCTATGGCGCACAACTTAAGCCGTCCCTTGTGGCGCACAACTTAAGTCGCCCCTTGGCGCACCATCCAAGCCGCCTCCTTTGGCGCACAATCCAAGCTGCACTCTCTGGCCCACAACCGAGCCGCCCCTCTTTGGCGTACAATCCAAGCTGCTTTCTCTGGCGCACCACCAAACTCGCTCCCTGGTCTATCATCCAAGCTGTCTCCTGGCACACCCAGTCATTTGTTGCCATTATCATTCAGCACTATGTCATAAGTTATGTGTGTGCCACGCTTGCTAGTTCAACATCAGTTCTCTACATCGGTCCAACATGACCCCTTTAAACTGTCCTGACATTGATTCCGGTTAGCTTCTACATCGATCCGGCATGACCCCTTTAAACTGTCTCGACATTGATTCTGGTAAGCTCCTACATCAGTTCGGCATGACCCCTTTAAACTGTCTTGGCATTAGTTCCAGCTAGTTCCTACAATGGTCCAACACAACCATAAACTGTCTCTCGGCATTAGTTCTAGCCAGTTTCTATATCGGTTCGGCATTACCTTAAATTGTCCTGGCATTAGTTTCAACCAGTTCCTACAATGGTTCGACACGACCATAAACTGTCTCCCGGCTTTAGTTCCATCCTCTGATCTATTTCAAACGCCCTTTTGCTCCCGTTCGGATTTTGCAACCTATTTGCCTTTTACTTTATTTAGTTTTATTTCATGTTTTAGTTTCTCTCTCCAAACTCAAGATGTTTATCTTCCTTGAGTTTGAGGGGGGATGTTAACGTATATATGGTATATATTCTTACATATATTAGGTATTGATTTCCTAGATATATTAGGTATTGCCATAGTTAGGTCTTTTATAGAATACTCTTTCTCATAGTTAGATTTCTGGTAGGATACTCTTTCTCAGCCTATATACACAAGCCTTCTATTGTATAAGACATATCATTCAATACAATACATTTTATTCTCTCTCTCTACTATTCTAACAAAGGCTATAAAGAAACTTAGATGATGAGACATGGATCAGACCAATCTGATGATGGGCAGTTGTTCGGTGGAGGTGACTTGACTTTAGAAAAAAAAGAAAAGATGCTGAAAACAGGCATGACGACAAAGACTTTGTTGATCCTTCTTCAGTGAAGAAAGCTAGAGTAGTTTGGACTGTCGATCTGCATCAGAAATTTGTCAAAGCTGTAAATCAGATTGGATTTGATAGTGAGTTTATTATGACCTTTCCTTTAAAGTGGGAATCAGAAGTCCTACTAATTCTATTTTGTTTTTTTTCTTTTTGTTTTTGTTTTTGGTAAATTGTTACAACTAAGTGGGAGAGAAGACCCACATGCAGGTGAAGGGAATTCAAACCCTTGACCTCCTAGGTGCAACTCTGTAGTTACAGTTGTTTGCAATCTAATTGGTTTTCTGTTATTCGGCTGTTGTATTCTAGAAGGTGATGATTTTCATCTTTGTTTGGCAGGAGTTAGTCCTAAAAAAATTCTTGACTTGATGAACATACCATGGTTGACAAGAGAAAATGTTGCTAGCCACTTGTAGGTGATACTCGTAACTCTTGCTCAAATATCAGCTGGAATTAACTATCGACATGGGGAGGTGTTAGTGATGAAAATATATATATTGACAATCGCATTGGTTTGTTTCATATATTTTGACATTCGTGATTAGGGGGTAGTGGGTTTTGAGGGTTGTTGGGGAGTGGGTTTAAGAACCTGTTTACGTTTTGTTGGTTAACTTTTTACATTGGTTGTCTTTGGAGAGTAGTATTGTGCTTCATCCTAATTATCTGATATTATGGGTTCTCATATTTTATATAAATGTCTCCCTAATTCCACTTGTGCCTTTTTTAAGTAGATTCTATTACTAAGCTCACCATCTATGATAGACCGCACTCATTCTGTGAATGATATCTTCTTCCATTAAAATTAAAATTAAGTACATGTGTTTGAATGATAGCTCTGAAGATTGAAGGGAAATATGCTATCTATTCGATACTCACTGGAAATTTGACAGAGATATTTTCATTGTACAAAAATACCGCCTCTACTTGAGTAGGTTACAGAAGGAAAATGGGCTAAAGGCTTCGTTTGATGGGGTAAAGCAATTGGATTTATCTTCAAGAGACGCTGCTGCAAGTCTTGGCCTTTAGAATTCGATCCATATGCAACAAAGTGATGCTGCTAGCGAGATCTATGAAATATCTAGCAATAAGACTCTTGTCCAGAATGTCGATCCCAAAATCCACGAAGGTGATCTAAAAGGTATTGTTTCATTGCCAATGGCAGAACCCAAGAAAGCTCTGGTTCATGATATTCCCGATCCTCTATTACAACATATAAGACTTTTGGCAACCAAACTAAAACCATTATTTTGGTCTCTAAATGATTTTTGTGACAATAAAATTCAACACTAAAAAAATCACTAAAAATGCGCCTAGTAAAGTCTTTAGCGACGAATTTTTGAAAATGTCGCTAAAAATGACAATTAGCAACCAATTTTATATTGTCACAAAATATTTGATTTTACAAGACTAAACATTTGGTCGCTAATAGTTCCGTCATAAAATGTCTCAATTTGGTCGCGAAAAACAAAATGATGACATTTTTAATGACAATGATATTTGGTCCCTAAAAGACAAATAACTTTCTCTACAACACATTTTCGTCGCTAAAAATCAAAGTTGGGATAGCTAAAAATGCACAAAAATTAAATGTCATCCAATCATAAAATAAATAAAAAAAGAAAAAATTTGACATCCACAAATCAAAGACACTCTATTACCAAATCATAATGAGTACATAGCTCTGAGTATATTCAAAGTTTTCAAATTCAAAATTTCCAAAAATTGACATATCAAGTAATTCTTATCAACAGATAATTGTTGCTATTATGAGGAAGCAGGGCAATGTCACAGCGAAGCTTCTTATACTTTTCATCAAAGGACTCCTCGTCAGCATCACAAACACCAAAGCTCCCTAAGGTAGAAAGGGACACAATTATTTAAAACCAAAATTTCCCCTTCCTGCCCAATCTACTTCTGCCTGGCATTCCTTCATCTTCATTGACACTAGAGAAGAAAAATGTGATAAACATTAGAGAGTTACCTAGTCATGAAGAGCTCTACTGCACAATACTCATCACGATTTGTCAATCGCTTAGTAAAATCTCAATATTATCATACATCTATTCTGGCTACAATGATTTCAAGGCTTCATCTCAATACTCATTCATATAGGTGACTAAAAGTAAAAATGGTACATAATCTGTTCAAGGAGAACTAATGAGACACCAACCACATCCTAACAGTGTATTTGTGTATGATCATTGTTTCAAACTTACACACGCTAACGGATTGAGACAGATCATTGACATCAACAGCCACCTTCTATGCTCAGACCATACATCTGGACAAAGAGAATGCATTCCATTCTGCCAATCAATCAAAACAACTGTTAGGTATATGTCTGTGGAAGGATCAAAAGCACAGAACGATAATTAATTGTAAGGATCTGGATCAGCAAGCCAGGTCAGGATTACAATGTTAAAATATCAAACTAAAATGAAAAGGAAGACCAATTTGTGTGTGCATGAATTGTAGTAGGGAGAAGGGAAACAATTAAGACACTCTTAGAAGTTTGCAAACTAAACCAAACCATAAAATAAATCATGTTTTCAAAATTATAAATCAATGTTTTTATATGACCTTTATAACCTGTATCGTTCACAAAGTTACATAACAAAATAGCCATATCCATGGTCAGTTAACTATGGTAGGGGGTAGGGAAGAGGTCTAATGAACCGGACGGATTTGGCTATGATCCACTATCAAATTCCAATTCAGAGTGATACGTATTGCAAATCAGCTGATTCACTTGCAATTTTTTACCCAACAGTAAACCGGGGTGTATTCAAATTGGAGGGCCCACAAACTGGTATGTACTGGCCAATTTCTTGAACCATGGATCACAGAGATAGATACCAGAGCTATATAAAAAAATAATGATAATAACAAGTAAATAAAACAAAAATATTTGCATATGTTGTTTTATGATGTCTTCAAGCTTCTAGAAAATTATGTTTATAAATCTAATCCAACATTGTAGTTTTTGCTTTTCATAGGGAAGGCAATCTGCTAAAAGCACCAAGAAGGTGTAACATGGTAGGTCTATCTACTGTACAAGGTGACTTGCACCACTAGGAAGTTATGCAATCAAATTTAATTCCTTGTAAAACACGAAATTAATAAAGAAAAATATGCAATTGCCAAAGATAGCAAATTTGAGTTCAGCTCAAATTTAGATACCAGAAAGGAGTAAAAACTTACCATAACAAACAGCAACATATAAATCAGGAAATCTGTAATTGATAACTGAAAACTTTTCTAAAACAGAAAATACACAAAATTGACATCCTAAACAAATGCATTTGTGCAAAAGAAAAGCCAACTTAGGTCACAACAAAGCTGTGTGTTGTTCGTCGGCCCATTTTTAGTCAACAACCTCCATAAAATTGCATAAATATGGTTTCTATTAAAGTTAAGTTCCCATAAGAACTGTTATGGACAAGGACATAGAAAACAAGATTTTAGGTTAAGTCAATATTATGTTGAGTATCTCAAAGAGAACCAGCTTGAGTCATGATGAACTACTAAATTGATCAAACTTTAGTGTACTTATCTGGAGCAAAAAGAATACAAACCAAAAGATGGTCCCCAATTCCCAAATCTGTCTTTTTGGGAGCATAATAGCTGGAGATAACCAATACATCAAAATCAAGTTATATTGTAAGATCATATTTAGAAATACAATCCAAATGAAAAGTAAACCATAGATGACGCCCTTGCATTCATGATTACTTATATATGTATTCATGATATTTGTGTTTCTAAATGATTCCTAATTCATTAAATAGGACTCAGCTAGTTGTGGTTGTTATATCTAATATATTGCCATTCATAGTTATCTAAAAATAATAATCAGATTTCTTTTACTTGGATTGGGAATTCAATTTTATGAATCAGATTGCTAAAATTGCTGGGAAAAGAACAGAACAAATAAATAAATAATAAAAAAAAAACAATAGTTAGTTTTAATAGAAAAGCAGAGCATCCATGGCATCTCAAATTTATCACTTTGCCATTAGAGCATCTTCAATGGCGCAAGGCAAAAACCATTTTTTGGCTTGCTATAGTGCAAAAATAAATAAATAAATAAATAAGCCATTTTTTTGCTATACCACTCCAATGGTGACATTCTATTTCAGTTGAATATAATGAACCAATACATCACACCCATCTAAGTGAATTTAAAGAATCATTGTGGACAATATGATCATATAAATTAAAACAGAAAGGAGAGGCACGCAAGCATACACATTTCAGCAAACCCCTGATTCATATTAAAGCAAGCTATCATTTGAAAACTTTAACTCAACTAATAAATGTGAAGTCAAGAAATCATACAGCAAGGACGATGAATATTACCTTTATTCCACTGGAATTTGGCGCTTCGAAGACAATATATGTCTCAGTTGAAAGCATCCCTCTTTCAATACCTTTTGACTTTTCTTGCCCCTCTATAGCAGCTTGATTAACGGTGAAAATATAACCATTGCCATGATACTCAAATGTTACCC